ATTGCACCGCCAATGCCGCCCCACTCACCCCCTCACTGCACACCTGTAGGGGCCTCGTTCCTCCACCCCTCTTTACCCCCAGTCAATATGCCCCCTCCCATTCCCCCCTCCAAACCCCAGGCGAGATCCCTGAGCTCGACCTCAGCCCCCTCACCTTTGTCATCCTCGGCGGCGGCACGCTGCTCAAGGTGGCCCTCTACCTGTATTGCAACGCCCTGAGGGGCCGCTCTGACTCGATCAAGGCGCTGGCCGAGGACCACATTAACGACGTCGCCTCCAATGGCGGCGCCATCGCCGCGACGATTGTGGTCAAGTTCTGGCCGGCCGGGTGGTGGGTGGACCCCGTGGCTGCCATCGTCATCTCGATCATCATCGGGGCGCGGTGGGCCAGCATCACGTACGAGCAGGTGCGCTGATCAAGATAGGGTTTAAGCTACACACCGCCTGCCTGGTACCTGACAATGGGGCTCCCTCCGCTCCACGGGCCCCCTTGCTCCCCGGCCCGGCCAGCGCTTCCACTGCTGCTCTCTTGCCGCGGCCACACGCACGGCTGCATTCAGGGTGCTCACTCATCGAGCACCCTCCTGAGTCGATCTTGCCGCGGGCGTCTGCTGCGATCTAGCTTTTGCCCGACAACAGTGCCCATTGAGAACCCCAAACCTCAACAAATAGGTACAGAAGATCGTGGGCGCGGCCGCCCCCGACGAGTTCAGGGAGCGCGTGGAGCGCCTGGCGGCGGAGCATCACCCCGAGCTGACCGTCGACTGCTCCCGCGCCTACCACTTTGGGCCGCGATACATGGTGGAGCTGGAGGTGCGCGGGGGCGGCGGCGGGGGATTATGATGGCGGCGTCGGGGCCGCCCGCAGCGGACGCGTTCCGCACCGGGTTGTTTGGCTGGCTGCTGAATGCACTTGTCCTGTTTGGGGGCGGAGGGGAGGGCGGCGGGGCGCGCCTCGGCAGCTCTCCGGCTCCTTTGCGTTGTCGTTGTTGTTGGTGGTGTTGTTCCGCCGGCGTTCCCTTTGTCCTGCAGTGGCCGCTTGCCCGCCTCGCGGCCCGCCTGCCGGTCCTGACCCCCACTCACGACCTTCAAGTCTGCTCAATCCATCTATGCTCGAGTTTGCTCAACCGATTAATCTGTGTACACTATACTTTTACAGGTCGTCCTGCCGGCCAGCATGACCGTCAACCAAGCCCACGACATCTCACTGGACCTGCAGCACAAGGCGCGCGCGACACGCACACACGCACGCGCACGCGCACACGCACGCACACACGCGCGCGCGCCGCCCCGGCCGCCCGGCACGGAACGCGCGACGCCAAAACCACCCGTCCGGCTCGGAGGCGGCCAGGGACCAGCGCGATCATGGCGAGCCCTCTTTGCGCCAGATGACACCTTGATCTGCAGCCACGGGATGCCGCAGCAAGCCTGGTTCGGACCCCTTCACCCTGGAAATCTTGGCCATTTTCGCACCGCCGGCCGCAGGTCGAGGCCCTTGAGGAGGTGGAGCGCGCCTTTGTCCATGTGGATTACGAGCAGCGCCACCTGCCCGAGCACAAGGTCGAGCGCGCGCTGCTGCTGCACCGCGCAGAGCGCGACGCCATGCGGCGCAGCTCCAGCGCGGCGACCGCGCTGCCGTGAACGGTAAACCCCAGCACCCTTGCCCGCGGCCGCGGGCGCCCCTTTCCTGCCGCCCACTTGTGCGCCCTGGAGGCGGCCCAAGCCGGTTGGCCGGATCTACTTCTGAGTCTGCAACTGGCTGGCTTCAGCCGTAAAGCCGGTGCCCGCATCCCAAGGCGCCCAGCCGGCCGCGAATACTTGCATTAAACCCTGCGAATTGGTATAATCTACTTGGAAGGCGTCCTAGAAGCGCCCACGCATTACCGCCGGCCGCCAGACGCGCACACTACTGCAGCACTGGCCACTCTGCCGGACGGCGAACTGCCGCACCCCATTACTGCACTGCACAGTTCTGGCCGCGGGGCGCGTAATCCCAATTGCACCAAGTTGCAAAGGACCTTGGAAGTTTTGAGCTTTTGAACCCAGGCCCAGACGGACTCAAATCATTAGGCGCCGCGCCTGCGCACACTCCTGGCTTTGAGATCGTGGCGGATCACTCCTCAGTGGCAGAACCCAGGGAACTGACCTGCTGCGTCCCTTGGCTTCCAGTGCAAACCCCTTTTCTGGTGCCTGGACTTAGTGCCACATTCAAACTCAGAGCGATCCGGTTTCCATTTGGGGCAAAATCGAGCTAATCACTGCTGTGCCCCTCCCCCCCAATGCGTGCGAGTGTGGTTGGTGCACGGCGGCGCCCGTCGGGCGCACGTCGCCGGCTCTCGCGAGTCGGCAAGACTGATGACGACACATTTTGCTGGCGCAGCGGCGTCAGTTGCGAACGTTAACGACGCCGGCTTAGCTGGAATCGTTTGCTGAGATTGATCAGATTCGAGGCGCGTGCTTGACCTCCAGCAGCCAGCCTCGCAGATTGGACGAATGCGGGCTGTAAATCAATGTGACGTCCAGAAACTTCACACACCGACAGGCAGCCAGGTAGACGGGGCAGAGCTTTATAACCGAGTCAAACGCATGGTCAGATCCAGCGTCGTCAGCCACACAGCGTTTCCCCCCCAGCGCGCGCAGCAGCTGAGCGGACACAAGGAGACGGAGCAGCCCGAGGCCGCAAAGCGGCGACTGAGCATGCATGAAGTGATCCAGCAAGCAAAGCCCTTGATGCCTCACCTTTCAGTGACAAATAATAATTCTGAATATGCGCACACGCCACTGGTGCAGATCTGCCTCGCAAACACTGGCTCAGCACCCACCTTCAATCAGCGCAAGGCCCGGCGCGCCAAGTGATATGAAGCAGCCTGATAATGCACAGAAACGCCGCCTCAACACACCACTTTTGTACAAGACCGGGACGGTCCCAGATCGCAATAAACAAACCAGACCAACCCAGATCACTCAGATCACACCAGATCACGCCCCCGTCAGGTTGATGGCGTCGAGGACGTCCTCTATCCTCGTCACGTAGTCGTCAGATGATCGGATCACCCTGCTGACGTTGACGTCCTCGACTCCAGGGCACCCCACCCGCCAGCAGCCGGCGGCGGCGGTGTACAGGCTGGAAGCCGAGTGGGCGCGGAACAGGATCTGGAGGGACCAGTCGTTGACCGAGTAGGCGTTGACCAGCCGGCCCGCGACGACGCTGCGCGCTGCGGGGGGCGGCGGGGCGATGGGGAGGGGGACGCGGGGCGGGTTCGGGGCTGGCGCGAGGGGGGGCCGCGCCAAGGGCGCGGCCTGGCAGGGGCTGCGACCAACAACGAGGGTTACCTGGCCGTCACCCTCTGGCTGCATGCCATCTACGCGTCGCAACAACTTGAGTGCCCGGCCCACCAACCCAACACACACACAACTCACACGCACACGCACACGCACACCCAACAAACACACACACACACACACACACTACACAGCGCTCACCCGCGGCCCAGCGCTCCGGGCGGCAACTGACGGGGGCCCCCAGCAGCACCACGTTCTCCACCAGCCCCCTGGTGGGTGCCCCCTCAGCTGCCAGCCGGTCCAGCTCCAGCAGGCAGTGGAACATGAGGCGCGCCCCCATGCCTATGCCGACAAGGGTGACGGGGCGGTCACCGTGGCAGCCC